AGGATGACTACTTCGTTTGTGGTGCAATTAGAACATTGCATGTGTTGAAGTTCTTTTAATGCAAACCAAAGATGCCTTTTAAAAAAGAAGTTTACATCATATTCTTATGCATGCCAGTGCTGTGTGTGAGGTAATTTAAGGTGGTTCTGACAAGTGTCGTCGGCATCTTCATATCCGGTCACATGGACGGCAAGCCGCTCCCATCCAGTCACATGGGCAGCAAGCCACTCCCACAAAGGAGGCCACACCCACAGAGTAGGTTCGAACAATTTTTGAAACCCTCCACTGATCCACACACCTTAAAGTTCCTAAGGTTGAGAAAGACTGTGCTAAGATATGAGATGTGGTCCCACCCATATTGCATCATTGTCCTGCCTATTTCACAGCTCAGTTCCTTCCCCCAACAAAGTGATCCGTATAAATATATTTGAATAACACAGATCAGATGGCAAAACTATTTGCTTATCACATACAAATATTTAATTTCCCTTCCCCCCTCTGATTTTTAAATAATTTTAAACATTCTCTTATTAGTTTCAAATCATATATCAATTTCCTTTTTTTAAATAAGTAGAAAAGCACAATATTTGGAGAAGGCCCCATTTCTATTGCGCGTAGATTCCTCAAAACTATACAGGGATTCATTTCATGACTGGGAATGCGTGAAAGTTTTATTTATTTATTCCATGACTATCTCTTTTCATATGTCAGTATAATAAAGATAAAAGTTAATAAAATGCTTGCAAACTGTAAAGCTCTAGAGGAGAGTCATTAAAGACTTACAAATTTAATTACCGTAAGACTAAATTTTGCCGTAACACTAATGTATTTGAACTACAATATTTCCTATTTGTACTGATACTGCAAATTAAATCTGCATATTTTGGATGTCTCGGCTTCAATGTCAGAAAAACGCAAAGCTTCCTGGATGCTAATTCAATTAGATAGCCAAACCTGTAAGAGATGACCAGGTTGAGCCTGAGGGTGGAGTTCCTACATCCCATGAAAGAGAGCCCCACTGGGAATCCATTGACTCTTATCTGCTGTCAATGTGCCTTGACGGTCAGTTGATCAGATTCTTGTATAGGTTTTTACAGAATAAACTCAAAGTGCTTTTGAACTCTACCTGACTCCTGGTTTCTTGACCCTGAAAATCCCTCCCAAACAGTATAGCTATAGGAAATTTTGGGTTTGGGATAATCATCATTATAGTCCCATGTATCTCATGCTCATCAAGTTGGAGAACTCCTTACAAGAGTTAATGACTGGTCCGCTGCTGTTGGCAGTTGTGATTGGAAACAAGTGTCCTGTACTGACTGTATTCTCACAACAAGCCAACCTCTATTGGTATTTTTGGCTTGCCATAATGTCAAAACCCACTAAATTATGGGTTAGGAGTATTTTACGTCAAGTTCTTTTGTCATTGTTTGATTGAGCCACAGTGGTGCAGAGGTTAGAGAGCAGTACTGCAGGCTGACTGCAATTTGCCAGTTCAAATCTCACCTGGCTCAAGGTTGACTCAGCCTTCCATCCTTCTGAGGTGGGTCAAATGAGGACCCAAAATTGTTGTGGGCAATATGCTGACTCTGTAAACCACTTAGAGAGGGCCGTAAAGCGGTATATAAGTCTTAATTGCTATTGCTATTTACATTTCTTTGTATTAACTATGTTCATCATGATTCAGGATGTGCTCTGTCATTTGTATTTCAGCTAAGGGTTAATGTAGAGTTAAGCAACATTAGTCTTTCAGACAGAAAATGTAAGAAAAATGGCCTTGTAGCAGTTTGACTGTCTTCTCACCCCTGCTGACTATGAGCTCTTTTACAATGGCAGAGGATGACAGGAAGAATAAGCTTTCCTTCATTCTGCAGATGGTGACTTAGTCAGGGGCTTGATCTAAGTTAGGCTGTCATGTAAGAAAATAAATTCCAGAATGCCAGATCAAGAGGCAAAGCTCTAGCATAATCTTGGCAACTTTGAGATGGGTGGATTTCAACTGTTAGAATACTCCAACCACGAGATTCTGACTCGGGATGTGGAGAGCTGAAATACATTCATATTAAATATGCCAAGGTTGGGAAACATTGCTCTAGCAATAATAAATTGAATGTGTTTTGGGTGAATTTTTTTTACCCTTAATTTCACACATTTAGTATCTCTCATAAGTCTAGGTCCCATGGAAAACCTTGACACAGATGTTCATTGGCGACCACAGACTTTTTTTTCATTGTTGTAATTAGGAAAATAACAACAGGGCAACAGACTACTAACCAATCAGGAAGTATTGCTGAGATAATAAGCAAGACAGAGTGAGACTAATGTACTGTGGCTTGCTGTGTCATTTTGAGATAATTTATTAGATTAATGTAATGAACCATGATAATGACTGAGCCACTGTCCCACTAAATCCATCCTTACCGGAGCAAAATTCTTCCCTTCTCGAAATCTCATTTCTGTCTTGCTCTTAAGTGGGGCCTTCCATCATTCCTGTCATTAAGGCAAACCAAGTTTCCTTTAAACAGCCTCTCAAGGTAGAATTTGAAAGAGATCTCAAATCTCAGATTAAAGGAAATTCTGATTTTCCCAAACCAAAGTAAACGATTAAAGGAGGATCTGGTTACAAGGACCACAGGAGATTTATCTAATTGGAAACCAGATCAATTCACAGTGAATAAGTCAATATAAACATGAATTTAAGAGTGCTGAACCGTATCCTCTATATAAGACAGGGAGTCAGTTAGGGATGGGCTTCAAAAATTTCAGCAATGGAGTCTCTTCCCGGCTGCTGGGTGGGCGTGGCCTTGGTGGATGTGGCCTAGTCGGCCTCCTGCACCACAGGGGGGCAGTTTTTGCCTTCCCCAGATTCCGGAGGCTTTCCTTGAATCTCTGGGAAGGAGAAAACTGCCTCCCCTGGGCTCTGGAGGGCATCTGAGAGGCCCATTTTTCTCCCTCCCCGAGCCTCCGCATGGGCTCTGCACTTACCTTGCATCCAAAACTGGCCGCGTGGAGACTCCTGGGAGGGGAGGAGTGGGCAGGGCCAGCCAGGGGTGGGATTTGGAGGTTCTCCAAACCGCCATAATGTTAGCTACGGGTTCCATCGAACCAGGGCAAACCTATAGCAGCCAACCGCCCGAGTCAGTGCTATCATCTCAAAAAGGAATATTATCTCTGGTTGAAAATACTCTAGCAGTGTCCCTGTTGTGAAAGCGAAGGTGATCAAAAAATATCATTTGAAAGTTTTGCCAGCATTAAATCGGAATTTGCATCCATTTGCAGTGGAAATTCTGAGGATCAGAATAAAGATTTCAAAGTAAGAGTGCCAATTATTGTGGCCAATTAGGATTAAGCTAGCATATGTTTTGTTGAATGCATCTGTTCTGTATTTAGCAATAACCCAAGTGGGTGGTGGGGTTATCCAACTGTAATGACTTTCCCTCAGAAGGGAATGGATGTAATAAGTCTCCCAAGTCAGCTTGTTTGTAAGTTATAAACTGTTCCCAAAGCGGTGAAAATAAATTGTGCCGCTACCAGTTGTTAATCGTTCACAGAACATCTCTAGACTTATCCATTTCTTTCCAAATATTTCTTGGTTTTAGATTAGGTCTGGACTTCCTGACAATCCTGTTAGGATGATGGGTTTTTAATCCTTGTTTGTGCATTTTAGGTGTGCTACAAATGGACAGGCAGAAAAAAAAGCAGAAATTGTGGGGCACAAATATATCCAAAAATGTTAGACTTTCTTCTTCTCTCTTTTTCTCCCATTCCCCAGGAATGATTGCAATTAGTAGAATGGCTGTGCTGTACCCCCAAATTATAGTGGACCATCCATTCTTATTTCTGGTCCGGAACAGAATAAAAGGTGAGTGCATCACAATATTTATAAAACAAAGGATTGAAAATATATATAAAGGAAATACATACTCAAATATTTATACCATAAGACAGTATCAGAAAACATTCTTTGTCACTCATTTGATTCCTTCCCTCATTTAGGACTCTCATTAATTATGAAAATAAACTACTAAGGATCACCAGATATTCTAAATGCTACACTGAGTTTGCTTCTTTGTTCTTTCACCCGTAGCTCTTTTATGGACGGATAATCCAAACTGAGAACCAATATGGACTTGGTTCACGAGAGGCATCACGTCAGTCTCTTAATATCTTTTTCATTCATTGCAAGTTGCCTCAAGTACTTCTAGAGAGTAGGGCTGGCTTTAACTATTGTTCCATAGACAATATTGGAACCAGTAAATGATGTTTTCAGGGAAATTGCCTAACAATGAGACCTGTCCAGCAGGAGAGACACAGTCTTTAAAGAATTGAATTGAATTGAATATTTTGATTGGCCAAGTGTGATTGGACACATAAGAAATTTGTTTTTGATGCATATGCTCTCAGCGTACATAAAAGATAAATTCGTCACGACTCATAAGGTACAACACTTAATGATAGTCATAGGGTACAAATAAGCAATCAAATCATACTAGGAAATAATCAATATAAATTGTAAGGATACAAGCAACAAAGTTACAGTAATACAGCCATAAGTGGGAGGAGATGGGTGATAGGAACGATGAGAAGACAAATAGTAATAGTAATGCAGACTTAGTGAATAGTTGACAGTGGTGAGGGAATTATTTGTTTAGCAGAGTGATGGTGTTCGGGTGGAAAACTTTTTCTTGTGTCTAGTTGTTCTGGTGTGCAGTGCTCTAAAGTGTCTTTTGGAGGGTGGGAGATGAAGATGTTTTAACCCCTCCTTTCTTCAACCTACCCAGTAAACAGAAGCCATTTCCTTTATAGATAATTGTTCCACTGTTGAACTTCTTTTAAGGAATTAGAATTGTTGTTTGGAATCTGCATTCCTTTAGCTCTTCTTTTCTTTCTTTAAGGTACCATCATTTTCATGGGGAGAGTAATGAACCCAGAAGCGATGAATCCGAGTGTGCATGATTTCGAAGAACTTTAATATCTTCACAGGTTTAACCACATTCTCACAAAAGAAAACAAGCACACTGAGTTTGCAATTGATGTATTTAAGGTTTTCCATGTGGTGGTTTACTTTTTTTTTTTTTTTTTAGTTCTCTCTTTTTGGCAATGTTACCTTTGAGATACTATTTAAAAAGACAAACCGTTTCCAGGTCTAACTTCAGCTATGAAATTGCAGACCACAGTTGTGGAAGGGAAGCTTTCGGTATTAAAATATATGTTGTTGTCTCTGTGATTTATTGTGTTGGTCCTTTAAAATAAAAATTTAAAAATATCCATGCTAGTGACCATCTTCTTCTCTTGGGAATTAATACCTAATTGCCTCTCACATGAAGCCAGTCCAAATTTCTATAGTAGAACATACTTATGTGCCATTGGGAATTAATTAGTTAATTAATTGTTAAGGCTCTTTGAAGCCTAGATAATAACCCCAAGGTGCTCAGATTTTTGAAGATACAAGGTATTGAGAACACATTCCAGAAGTGGGAAGAGCTTAGATTAGTGTTTTTCAATCTCAGCAACTTTAAGATGGATGGATTTCAATTCCTAGAACTCTTCAGGAACCATACAAACTGAGGAATTCTGGGAGTTGAAGTCCACGCAGCATAAAGTTGCTAGGGTTGAGAAACAATGGCCTGGATAAACATTAGAGCGGCTGAGACCATAACTAATTTGGATATGTTTTAATATAAATGTAATTAAAATTGAATTAAGTCAATATGACCATTCCCCATATATTGTGTGCATTTCCCAAAATGTCACAATAAAATGTACAATTCAGCATTGTACATTGCAGAGCATTTAGCTAAAATTCTAGACTTCTGTTACCTAAAGCCACTATTTTCCAACTTGGGCAACCTTCAGGAATATGGACTCCGATTTCCAGAATTTCTCAGCAATTACTGAGAACTCTGGAAATTGAATGCCATACAACTATAAGATGCCCAGGTTGGTAAATGCTAATTAATCTAACTCATGGTGGAAATAATCCATTACATCTCTGTATGGTCCACCACTCTGTTTTATCTTCTTCTATAATGTGTCATCTGCCACTGACTCAGTGGTGGGATCCTAGCACTTTAACAACCCGTTTGGTGATCACGCGCTTTGCTGCGTGTGCGCAGTTTTGAGAAAACTTGCCTTCTGCATTACTGCTGGGGAGCAAAATAGCTGAGACTCAGCAGTCCACTCTGCCTTGTGACTAATCTGTGATATAGGTCAGTATAGCGCAGGGGCGGGTGGACAGGCCAACTTGATTGTGGGAGCAAACCGGTTCACTCCCAGCTGATCGTTGGAGCTACCAGCTTGCCCGAACCGGTCGGAACCAGTAGAATCTCACCCCTGCACTGACTCCTATGCAAATGCCAGGGAAGTGAGGAAGACTCCTTCAGGAAAAACAGGCAAGGTTCCCAGGATTAAGCATGGAAAATACAGCACTGGAGGGTTTTCAGAAAGAATTATTCCAGAACCAAACTCTGTCTTGCGTCAGAAAAGGCAAGAGTTTCAGAATATGTCGAAAACCCCACAGTGATGTCTGATCCTAATGCATTTATAGAAGATCAGTGACAGAGGTCATATGATCTCTTGAAAGTAGGGGAAGTGTTACAGTACTGAGGCAGTGCATGAAGACATACTGCAGCTTTAAGTAACATAATGCATACGAAGCATTCTAGCTTTGTGTTTCCTAAAAGTTGTCCCACTGCACCCCCTTTTTAAAATCAGCAGTTGAGATGTTGGGCTTGTCAACCAAACGTTTGGCAGTTTGAGACCCAAGAACCACATGATGGGATGAGTTCCTGTGTCTGCTCCAGGTCCTGCCCACCTATCATGCAAATGCATGCAGACAAATAGGTACCACTTTTGTGGGAAGGTAACAGCGTTCCACATACTCATTGTATTCTAATGCCAGCCACATGACCCTAGAAGCATTTTTGGGACTACGTTGGCTCCCTTGACTATGAAACAGATGAGCACTATCCCAAAGTTAATTCCACATTTTTGCCAAGAAGACAATATGGGCCATTATGCAATCGCAAAGCCAATTTTCCAGTGAATAAGATTGATATGTGCCAATATTAAAAAAATTGCACTACTTTAAAAAAAGGCCGGTTTTAAATGTGTTTCTGTAAATTGCTGCTGTAATGTAAAAGAAAAAAAAGTAATGTCCATTTGAAACTGAGTAGCTGTCACTCACTGTAAATCGCTGTACTTTATAGTCAGTGGGGATTGGGGAGTTAATAATTTATCAAGATTTCTTCCAGCAGGAAGATTAACAGGAAATCATGCAATTCTCTGTGCAGCTCCTTGAATTGTTCGTGAAAAACAGCAAATGTTTTTGTGGCTATCTTCTGTAGATAAGAACCATATCATCTGAGTCCAGTTAAAGAGAATAATGGTAAAATCCCGTTCAAAGCACTGAGGCACCAATAAAGGCTTTCTTGTTCCTTTGATTTCCATGTAGGTTTGATTGTAGTCTCTGTCAAATCTTTTTTGGCAAGATGTCCAACACAAAATCTGCATGTCCTTCCACCCTGGTAGCTTTCCCCTATGTACCTTCCATCCCTCCCTGCCTCAAAAAAGAAAGCTTTATACTCATAAACATGCAATTGTATTGATGCTTCTACATATTAAAAGCACTTTATTAATAAAGCATGGGGAAAAAACAGCATAGATGGCAATCCTGTGCGTGCTTCATTAAGGAACATTGTCAAGATGTGACTCTGTAATTGAATTCCTTTCTCATCCACTAATAATTAATTCACTAATTCTATTGCTTTGACCCCATTAAGGAAAAAGCAAAAGCTACTCCCAGGCATTATGTTGGTGCTTAGCTAAAGTGGAATCAATAATTTTAAAAAATAAAGTGTGCTATCTTTACTTTTTTTCCTCCCATTTAATGTTTTACCTTTAGCAATATCCAGGTCTGTATAGATGGCTTGTTGGAATGATGGCACCAATTGCTATTCATAGTAAGTTCCCGCTTGAGTCCTGATAAAATGGTTATTGTTTTCAGATGATAATGTATAAATCTGCAACACTATCAGCTCAAAACAAAAACAAGAAAGTGAACAAGAACAGTGTGAGAAATTACCTGAATGTATTTATTTAATTCCTCCTTCCCATCTATATTCATGGTGGAGATGAGAAATTATGGCAGATTGAGAGAGCTAAATGGTCTTCAGTTTCTACTGCTAGTTTATTAGATTTATATTCTGCTTTTCCTCTAAGAACAAAATACGGCCTTCAACCCTTCAGTTTATACTCCAAACAGTAAAACTATATGGTTTGGCTGGGTTGAAGGAGAAAGAGAACAGTTCACAGTCTTCAATAGGATTCCATGGCTAAGGGGGGTCTTGAACGTGAGCCTCCCCTGACCTATTGCAACACTAAAACATGCCGGCAACAGTTTTCATCTTCACCATCAAGTCTTTCTGCATTTGGTTGCAGGAATTGGGTATATCTAGTTAATGGAAAAGAAGGACCAGGGATGACATGATAGCAGTGTTCCAATATCTAAGGGCCTGACACAAAGAGGAGTGACAACCTATTCTTCAAAGCACCTGAAGGCAGTACAGGTAGCAATAGATCAGTGGGAGTCAACCTGGTCCCTACCGCCCACTTGTGGGCGTTCCAGCTTTCATGGTGGGCGGTAGGGGTTTTGTCCGATACTGAAGCACTTTCCTTTTTTTAATTTAATTGACTTCCCTACTTTATAAATCACCATTACTGTGGAACCGGTGGGCGGTTAGAAAATTTTACTACTAACAGAGATACAAAGGTGGGCTGTAGGTATAAAAAGGTTGACTGCCCCTGCAATAGATGGAAACTAATCAAGGAGAGATCCAACCTAGAACTAAGGAAAAATTTCCTAACAGTGAGAACAATTGCTGCTTGAGTGGAACAACTTGCCTCCAGAAGCTGTGGATGCACCAACACTGGAGGTTTTAAAGAAGAGTTGGGCAAGCATTTGTCTGAAATGATACTGTATATGATTTCCTGCTTGAGCAAGGGGATGGACTAGCGGTTCTCAACCTGTGGGTCAGGACCCCTTTGGGGGTCGAACGACTCTTTCACAGGAGTCGCCTAAGACCATCAGAAAACACATATTTTCAAAAAAATACGAAAAACAAAATAATTTTATGGTTGGGGGTCACCACAACATGAAGAACTGTATTAAAGAGTTGCGGCATTAGGAAGAGACCCACTGGACTAGAAGACCTTCAAAGTCCCTTCCAACCCCTGTTATTATGTTGTCTGATAGGTAAAGTCAAGGGAGACTCCAATAACCATGAGGAAATAATTGCAACCTCAAAGGATTCATGCCTGAATTATGAGATATATTACTGCTACAACTACAGACCTAAATTGTCGCTGCTTCTGCCTTGTCTATCAACTCACTTTTGTTTGGAGAAAGTGGCATGTCCTTGCAGAAGGAGATGAATAGACTCATTATAGTCTGGTGCTCGGAGCTGGTTGATGGGATGAAACACGAAGTTGAGACTAAGAATTATTGTTCATGTAGAACCATTCTTGGTCAGCTTGATGGAGGTGCACACCCCTAAAAGAATAGATTTGTACTGGGGTGTTACTCAATTTCTGGCTCTGTCTAGTGAGATCTTCATCCAGCTTTTTTTTTGGGGGGGGGGTACATCAGTTGTGACCGTACTGAAGCAGGAGATCTTATCCACAATGGTTCATGTTCTGATCCACCCTTCTCTTGGATTAATGCAATCAGCTTTACGAGGGGCTGAGGTTGAAGACTGAAAAATAAAATTGGGCAAAATGCAACATCTTGCATAAAGTTTCATTGAAGGCACCAGAGTCACATAAACCCTGTTCACAGTCACTGTATTGGTTACCTGTAAGTTTCAAGGCGCAGTTCAAAATGCTGTTTTTGATGTATAAAAGAACCCTTTATGGCTTTGCAACTAGGACTGCCTTCTTGTCTAGTATCTATATCTCATTTCCCCAGCCCTGAAGGAGAAAGGACAACATGGGTTATATTTAAATTGGTATGGCCTTCCTGTGATGGAATACTTTCCTTTGGAAGTTATGCTAGCACCCTAACTATTAATCTTCCGGACGACTTAAGCTGCTCTGGAGTGCACAAGACAATTGAAATGTCACGGTTGCACTTATTTGCCTAGTATTTGGTTATTAATTAATAATTAATTCAACTTGCCTGACTGAACCAAATGCCCAATGTTATTTTAATTATCCATTAATTATGTAGCTTAGAAGTAACTTGAAAGCACTGCCTTTATTCAGGGGATTTTTCTCTCTCATTTTACAGCAGACTTTAGCCTCAGATGTAATGAAACTGACTTTACTGATTTCTCCGTTACGAAATAATGGCTACAGTTGTCCATAATGATGAAGTATTTCCTGCCTACAATTGAAACTCCCAAGTTTACGACCTCTGGATTGTCTGCAGAAGGGAAGATGGGGCCAAGGGTGGACTTCAAAAATTTTGGCAACAGGTTCTCTGCCTGGTTGCTGGGTGGGTGTGGGCATGGTGGGCATAGCCTGGTCAGCCTCCTGCACCACAGTGGAGGGGCGGCATTTTCACCTTCCCCAAGCTCCGGAGGCTTTCCTCGAGACTCTGGGAGGGCAAAAACTTTCCAAGCTCCAGAGGCCTTCTGAGATTCCTGTTTTCCCTCTCCCCAAGCCTCCACACAGGCCCTGCACTTATCTTGCATCCAAAATGGGCCACATGGAGACTCCTTGGGGGGAGCAGGGGGGCCCAGCTGAGTGGGGGATTTGGAGGTTCTCCGAACAGGCCATAATGCTAGCTACAGATTCTCCCGAACCTGGGCAAACCCATAGCAGCCCACCCCTGGATGGGGCCAATGGCATGCCTGGTACCCTGACTATACCAGTGCAAATTCTAGAACAATAGATGCATCTGTGCTAGTCTGCTTGTATTTGCAGATACATTTTTTGCACACAAAGAATCTTTTCAGGTATGGAAGAATCTATTGTAATCAGAAGTAGCATCCCCTCCTCCCCCCCCCCCAAAAAAAGGATATGAGAACCCTTAATGTAATCAGATAAGCATGCACAGGACTTCATTTCTCTATTCATGGATCCAGATTACCTGGCATTCTATTATTGGCTGCTTCTGCTAACAAGTTAAAATCCACCTTGTGCTGTTATTGTTGTTTGTAAACGCATTGACATAATAAGTTCAAAAGCCCCTATCTTCTTCATTTATAGATTTGCCTTTCTAACAAGCACACAGATCTCAGTGGATGAAGGAAGTTTAATTTAAACCAGGTGAACTTCAAAGGCTTAGAAAATATTCAGGGACTCGTATTTCATTATTCCTTCTCTACAGCTACATTCTACAACATACGTAACTGGGTCAGTTCCAAAGCCTTCTCAAACCATAAAGCATGGAGGCTGCAAACAGGCAATACCAAAAAGCGAGGGGACTCCAAAAACAACAAGCCTAAATCCAGATGTTTCTGCCTTGTGGGCAGTATTAGGGCAACATACCAGCAGCTTGTTTGCCCCTGTAGCCCATCTTGGCAAAGAGGCACTAGTAGCAGTTCGGACGGGTTTGGCCGAAGCAGTAGTGGTTTGGGGCCTGGGTCACTGGAACTGGCAGCAACCCAGTTATGAGCCGAGGTGGCACAGTGATTA